AAGCAGCACAATGGCTGTTAATTTGTCAGCTCGCGTTTGACAAGAGAGCTTAGACTGCAGTGTTAATTGAAACACAAGTGGGCAGGGGACAGCAGCATCCAGCTGGGACAGTGGTCTTCTGAAACACTTTAGTACTACTTATAGGCAAAGGAAACATGGAAAGATTAAAAACAGGTGGTGACAGGAAGAACTAGCACAGTGGTGATCCCAGAGAGTTACCTGCCTGGAATTCACCCTGCACAAGGCCATCAAGATAGATCTGCTGCAGAAATCTAATACGTTTTAATAATAATCATTACAAAGGGACTTTCTTTCCTAGAGATCGGCATGGGAACGACTTGAATTTAATTTGCTTGGTCTGAAAAAGATGATGCCTCTCATTCTAACCATGCAAACCTCCCTCTGGTTGCTGTAGGAAACCTGAAAGTGTTAAAAGTGACTGCACTCTTGGCTCTGCTCAACATGGGTAACTCTGGTTTTGAAGCACAGGCAGCTCCCAATGGTCATTAATTCCCTTCTTTGTATTCATACTGTACATGTGCAGACACACATTCCAAAAACCATTTTCCCCTGCTCTACTTCTTTATGACCATTCTGTGTTTTATGGTAGTACAGATTTCAGTTAGTTGGGTTTTGTGCAATTTTTTTGTTTTGTTACAGAGAAATGGAAATGTTGTGCCTTTCAATGTAGCCTGCTACTTGCAAAACTGGATCATTTGAAGATTGTTTCTCTTCTTCACATTTAAGAGCTAGGAAATGTTTGTCCAGAGAATGAAGTGAGACCTGACAAGTAACGAAACACAAAATGTCAGAAAAATATATCTGATTCTTAGGACAGATTTAGAAAAATTTGGTGCTTGTACAGGTGGAATGTTCTTCTATTCACAATCTTTCTCAGCATTTTTTTTTACCAGCAATACCTGCATCTCTCTCTCTACATCATGTTTGGGAACACATACCAGTCCTGTGCTATTGTTAGTAGAGACCTGTGTAAACCCCTAAATTCCCTTGTCCAGAGCGCACTGCAAGTTTCTGCCTCAGCTCTCTTCCAAGAGCTTTTCTACAAAGAGAGATGTCCTGGCACAACTGCACTGGGGGCATGTGCTGCCATGTCTCCCCATACTGGTGCTGCTGTGGAACAGAATTGGTTTTAACCTGAAATAATTATTCTTCCGGAGTAAAAAGATAGAATAAAATATATTCTGGAATGAAGTGGCTGTTTTGGGAGCTGGGATGAAATAGCTGTACTAGAAAACTTACTCCATGTCACTGTGAGGGTGACAGAGCTGCCCAGAGAGGTTGTGGAGTCTCCTTCTCTGGAGACATTCGAAACCCGCCTGGGCGCTTTCCTGTGTGACCTACTGTAGGTGATCCTGCTCTGGCAGGGGCTTGGACTAGATGATCTCTAGAGGACCCTTCCAAGCCCTGACATTCCATGATTCTGTGAAGTGTAGAGATGTTACTGTTCTGCAGTAGCAAGGGTGGCCAAGTCTCCCATGTAAACCTGTTTATTGTTAACTCCACTGAATTCCTTGGTAGCTTTTAATCAGTCCCCTGTTGTTAGATCAGATGCTCTTTCAAGGTAAAAGCCAACTGCATTGCTTATCTGTCTACCTGGCTTAGCTAAACTTACAATATTTCATCTTCTGAAATAGATGTGCTTGTAAGAAGAGCAGGCTTAAAACAGCCTCGAAACCCACTTCATAGCCCATGGCCTAATGCTTGTTTAAATGACAATTTTAGCATTGTGTGAAAGTGTTGATAAATACTAATTTCTACCATCTAGCACGCCGGCATGCAACAAAGTGCAAGGAAATACTACTGCAAAGTTTTTTATTTCACTGCAACATGGCACTTTCAATATTTAATACGCAGTGCTGTTTTCATAAATTGCACTTTGTGGTACTGCCAAGCAAGAAGCAAAGAGAGAATTGAACTCTTCTTTCTGTGTGAAAGATGCTAAATCTGTCTAATTTGCAGGAAAAGAAACAGACCTTAAAACCTAGATGCATACATAACAATTTGGATGCAAGTTTGCCTTGAATTTTCTTAGTAGAACCCATTTGCTATTCAGGCTCCGTATTTGTGGTGATAGAACATAATTTTATATATAATATATTTACACAAAAGGCATGAGTAGCTACTTATTTACTGTGTCACTCAATGGACAAGATAAAACCAGCTTTCAATGAAAAGAAAAAAGAAAAAGGAAAATAAGAAAAACCCCCAAACGAGACAAAACTTGCACTCGGACTGCTACTCACAATCACTAGATCAGAAAACATCACTGTACAACCGTAGGAAAGTAGTTACAAGGAGGTCAGTGACCCTCCTGTCTTGTTGTTCCACCCCAAGGAGCGACTGTGGGGTGACCCAGCTCTTTCGGGGTGCAAGGTCTGTCTCCAGCCAAGCGCAGGTGACTCCCTCTTCCCTTGGAGCTGGGGCAGGGGGGGTCGCTGGGCCAGAGACGAGCGCAGTTTTGCAGCCACCTTTGCCGTCCCCTCTGCACACAAATGTGTCTCCTCAGGGCCTGAGGCGAGGAAGGGACAGTTTGCTGGCTTGCTTTGGGCGTCCAGCTGGACTCTGAGCTCGAGGTGATTTGCTCAAGGCAACCCCACGGAGGGAAGGGCGAGATGTGGGTGTGTGTTACGGAGCCCAAAGTGAGGGACCTGCGGCAGGTGGTGCTGAGCATCTGCTGCTCCTCCACAAATCTGAAATCCAGATGGTCCCTCCTGTGAGCCGGAACCACGTTTCGGACAGGTTGCCTCCTGGATACTCTGATTTCAAGGAAGCTGTGAAGGGCTAGACTTCCAAAGGTTTTTATTATGTTAAATTACCGAGGGACCCTCAGGAGGATGTAATAAGGGTCTAGTCTTGCCGTTGTGATGGGTGCGGCAGGCTCAGCCCCTCTAAGCGATGGAGTTGGGCTCTCCTGGACTGAAGCGCCATGCGAGGCCTCCATCAGGGAGACCCTTTTGATACTCTGGGCTCCACCACTCTGAAAAACCTATCTATCGTGCTTGGCATCTGCAAGCCGTTAGCTGCCTGGCCCTAAACCTAGAAATGTGCCGTGCTCCCAGCGTGAAGGGGTCCTGCCCCGGGCCGTCCAGGCACGGCAGCGCGGGTGCCTCCAGCTCTCACTGTGAGCTGGTTCGCAAAACCTGAAATGATGTCGTTGTGCTGGTAAAAGTCTAATACTCAGGAATTGTACTGCTTGCTTTATTTAACTCTCTCAGAGTAATGAATTCCAGGGATTAATCTTTAATCCCTTTTAATTTTCTGTTTATTAACTTTTTTCCCTTCTCTATTTCTAGAGTAAATCGGAGCTGTTTTTTTTTTTTAATTTTCAAACTGATTCACTTAATATTCAGGTGAGGGGAGGGGGGAAACAGATCCATGCACATAATTCTGGTATCAAATACTGTTTCAAAATGAAATAAATGAGATTACCTATGTATGAGGTATATTTAAAAAAAATAAATGAAAAAATGCCTTTATTCTGTGGCACAGTGCCATGAGCTGTGTCTCTACTTTGGGACACAAGGGCATCTTTTAGCTCCTGGAATTTGGTAACAACCCATGGCAGTCCCTTGGGTTTTCTCCAGATAGCTTCTCCTAGATGGCTGGATTTGAAGAACGGCAACTGCATGCGTTTTACAAACCAACAGAAATACTGAGTGGTGCACAACCTGGAAAAAAAACCCCTGTTATGGCCTGAGACTACAGCACCTTTCCCCAGCCCACCCCTGGACAAAGACTACTTAGCTTGGCAAAGCAGATAAACATAGAGAGAGAGAGAGACTTGCGATGAAAATTTTACCTTTTGGTGAAGTCTTTTAACAGCCCTGGTTGAGCAGCTTATTTAAAAAATGAGTTATAGTTATAAACCCTATGTTTCAGGCCACTGGAATGACAATTGATTCTTGCTTACTTGTGCATTCAGGGCTTGAATCTGGAAAAAAAAAAAAAAAAAAGAAGAAAGAAAATATCCACCCAAAAGCATGAGAAATTACTTCCTCCGGCAGATTGCCAGCGTTTTCCATCTCTAAAGCCTTTTCGAAATGATTTATATAATTCTTGCAACATCCTGATGAGGTAGGCATTATTTCCCCACTTCTTTACAGATAGCAAAACTGGGCAGAGAGTCTGTCAGCAGACCACCCTGGGCATCCAGGCAGGGAAGATCAGGATAAAAAAAAGCACTTTTTCCTCCTTTGCAGCTGCTCCTCTTGCCCCAAAGGGTGGCAGTTACTGTGAGGCTACTACTCCCCTCCCGCACATGGGAACAGGCAGAAGTAGATGGAGATGAAAAGCCTGGCTCCCAGCTCCCCAGCGCAGTGACCATCGCTGAACTGGTGTGCAGGTGGAGGCCGATGTGAGGGGCACGAAGAAACGCGCAGTTACAAGCTGCTCCTCCCTCTGAGGCATGTTCTAATCTGGAGCTGAATTAGATGACTCTCCCAATATCACAAGGCAAGTCGGGGTTAGAACTGGGAAACCATCTAAGAATTAGATATCGGGGCTACTGACCGCACACACATGCACGCGCACACATCTCTCCAGCAACGCTAGGTCAGAAGAATATATACATAGCAGTCAATGAACTATATATATGTGTGTGTTAGTATGATTCAGTGCATTGGGGGCAATGGCGAGTTCTAGAAAAACACTTAGATTTGAATGACCATAAGGCCTTTCTACCCTCCTTATGAGTAAAATGCATGTTTGATGTTTTTTTCTCAGCTTACTCTACTTGTATAATAAACCTTCATTTCATGACCACTACTTTTGACTATAATACATAGGGTAAACTAGGGTACCTCATTACATTGGGATGTGCAATACACAATTGACAGCGCAGTCATCTGAGCCGAGTAGTCTGAATACAAGTAAAAAGAGCAAGTGAGCTTAAACAGTAATATACTCCAATTTACAATATAAGCAGAACAAGTAAAAATATTGCTCCCCATCTGATCCATATTTTCTCCCCCTCCACTACTGCTGTGCCTGTAAGATTTGCTTGGTAAACTGGATGCACTAAAAATAAGAATTTTGCCTCTTGGAAGCTCATAAAACGATACTAGAAAAAGTTTTCTGACAGCTGATCCACACAGGCTGCATTCATTAGACAATATGAATGGGTAGAACAGATAACCCTTTCTCACAGCTGTGGAGAAATAGAAAGAAATAGCCACTTCACATATCTCAATGCTGTTTCTGAAAATAAGGAAGGAGGGGAAAAAACAAGAAAAAAAAAAAGGCAACATATTAAGAGTCTTTGTCACTGTCCATTGAGCCATACATATCTGCCAGCTTTTTAAACCGAGGCCCCCAGTCACTGAGGTAATCGTAGTCCTGATCTCCGTCTGTAGTCACCGACTCCAAGGAGCTGAGGGACTCGGCCACAGAACCGTTACCTTCGTAGGCGTAGGTTGCTAACGAGTCATACGGGGGTGCCGTTGGATCTGTATCGTTTTCCTTTAACCTTTGGTTAATGAAATCTCTGACATCCGTGTTATCTCGCGCTGTTGCAGTCCGCCGTGGCATGAAAAGTGTTTCTGGCACGATGTCTCTGCGTAATTTATTATCGTCTATGGCTTCGGGATTCCTCAGCGTTCCGATATCAAACGCCTGGGTGTCTTCCTCTCCACCACCTTCATCATTATAACTGACAATGTTGTCTCTGATGTCTTCTTTGGAAATAATCAAAGGCTCTTTTTTCCGCTGCCGCCTCAGTGCTGCGAACAGCACCACTGTAACTGGAAACAATAATAAAGGAAGAGAAAGGGAAAGGTTAATCCCTCATTCCATTAAAACTCAGAAGAAATTCTCTGGTTCTGCTCGAATCCAAAGTTTTAAAAGATGTTTTGCGAAGCTGCAAGCGTGCACGTCAGGTTTTCAGACTGTGCTTGCTCTGCCTGTGAGTACCTCGGGAGTTGAAATGGCAGGGATATGCACTAGAAGAAAGGAGACGTCAAGCCTGTAAGAAGCCAAGTGGAGTGTCTTTTTGTCAGTAGGCATGTTTTTACCCAGAGTTGTACAGCAATTTTGTTGTCTTGAGAACAGAACTAGTTTCACAAGAGTCAGAAAAGAAGAAAACCTCTCTCCAAAATAAGTAACATCAGACAATATTTGCCTTGAACTGCCGGGATGAGATGCAACTTGTGCTATGGACAAGGCCAGTATCTCCTGGGCTATGATAAAAGGTTAGCAAAGCTGCATTTCAAGATAAGTAAATCTATCCTACTCTGGAAAAAAGCTTGGAATAGTGAGTGGATTTTCAGCCAGCACAAAGTTCAAGTTTTTTAACTTTTCTGGCATATTTTTACAGTGTACATCACCTTAAAAAAAACACATGGCTTAAATCTTACACAAATGAGATACAGTGATGGTATTTTTTAACCTGACAAAAGCATGAGATTTCTCAAACAGATATTTTATGCCTTTCATTCTATAGTGTGTGTGTGTACACATATATTTTTCATTTATTTGGAGGGCAGGAACTCTTTCCAAGGCCCTGATCCAAATTCTAATATTTTTGCTCGACAATGGTACTGTTGGAGGAGGGGGTACAGAGAGTGGAAGGGGATACGTTCAACACTTTATTTCCTTTAGAAGTTATTTTCAGATTTCTTAGCTGGATTCTACCTTAAGATGGTAAATGGCCGAATATTTACAAAGGCAAGGAGCTGCAAGAAGCAGGAATTTATTACTGGTCTCACGGTTGCTTTGGTATTCTGAGGTCCCCAGTGCCCAACATTTCAGCTCTGCTGTGCAAACTCCAAGAAAAGGCATGTCTTGCTGTCTCTATAGCTCTTTTATAGCAAATCAAATCAGAAAGTGCCTAAACTCATTGATAGGAGATGATAAGGTGGATCAAAAGTATCTTTCACGTCGGCTGTGTTTCTAAAATGGTGTGAGTCAAAGCACAGCAACTGTTAAAAGACTTTTTTTTGGCAGGACCTTCCTCTTTTGTAACCATTTTAAGGGCAATGCCAAGGACTAAGGACACCCCCAAACCAAAAGTTTAGCTCGTTGAAACTTGCCTGTCTTAGCTCTCTTTGGCAGACAAAATGCTGATTCATTGTATTTTTTTCTTTTTAAATGGTGAGCTCCCCCACAGGAGAGTCTCAGGCTCTTTCTCTCTGTTGACTACGGAAAGATCCCAAGAAGACATGATAAACTAGGAAAATGCTTATGTGTCATTATCTTAGGAATACTGTGATTGAGGGGGAATATTGTTAATATGAGTTGAAAGAAAAGAAGTGAGGTGGTGAAACTGAAGGTTCAGTGGGTGACAGCTCCAGGCTCTCACCCTAATGATGAGGACTTACTTACAGTGTCACCTAAGGGTCTTAATCTGACTGATGCTTCTTTTTGCTGCTATGCAAAAATGCAGTCAGGGAGAATTCTCTTCCTTACAAGCGTAAAGCTGTGACACTATGTGGGAGGACTGGGGAAAGTTCTATGTGAGAGAACAGAGATAGCTGGAGAAAATTTTTGAACTTGGAAAAAAAACAGTGTCGATTTTGAGTGGGCTTCCAGAATAGCGGCCAGTAGAACGATCTGAGAAAGCCTAGGAATGATAGTTTTTACTCTGAAGGGTAGCTGAAGTATCTCATTAACAAAAAAGGAATTACACAGACTATGCAAGGATGAGACTTTGATAATCATGTCACATCTCTGATACTTTTTCTTATTTTGTGCTGTACTTGTAGGCAAAAGACCCATTAGAAGCCACATGTTAAAGTTCCTCTCCTTTATTTACATGTCAGTGTTTAATAGTATTGAGGCCTCCTGATAAGCTGCTAGACTGACTCAGACTGCAAAAAAATCTAGCAATTTACAGGTACTTTTTGTTGCTGCTAAACTTTAAGTTGTGGTTCAGGTCTGCCCAGAGTATTGTCTTTCACTCAGTAGTGGTTGCACATGCAAATCCTGCAACCAGCCTGAAAACAGAAAATTATATAGCTGAGTTAATTGAAAATCTGCTTATGGAGCATGGTGGCATGAGCAGTAATTGACATAAAGTGCTGCTTAGCACACAGAATCAATTATTTTCGATTGACGTAAACCAGGAAATCATTTGATGTCAGATTGATATTAATGAGCACAGTTGTACTAACGAGTGCAAGACTATCCACAGCATTTGATTTCTTTTTCTGGTAAGAAACCTGATACAAAGTGAGCTCAGATCTTAGAGGCAATGATACCATGTTTTGAAAAATCAATTTAATGGCAAATTCAGGGTAAGATTGTTACTGTGGGAATCCTCTCTGAAAATGGAGTAGCGTTTATTTGGGTGAGCCATGACTCTATTGTTAGTCTGAGAACCACATCACAGTCTTTTGACTCATCACTGGAGAAGGGATTTTTATTAATAATAAAGATCAGGATGATTCTGCAGTGGTGATGAGCGTCTCCAAGGAAGATATGAGTATGGTAGAAAGGAATGGAATCACCAAGGCAACATTTTCTCCCCTGCTTGACCCTACTGCTATAAAATTGGTCTGACTCCTTTTTTGTTTCTGGCCAGATACTAAAGGTTACTAATAATGTCTCCCTGAGAACTGCCTGTGTTGGATTTCACAGTTCTCTCCAGATGAACAGAGTATGGTTAATGGCTGAGGGACAGATCATCTCTGTTTGCTGTCCAAGACGGGTAGAACGTGGGGGAGAGGAATGTGAGAGATGTTGCAAACTGTCCTTATTTTTATTATAAAAATAAACACTGACCACCTGTAAGTGCTGTAGCCAGAGATCTGTACAGCCTCCACACTCAGGATCCAGCCTTTTCACACTCACAGGTGCCTGAAAGAGAGAACCCTGCTGCTTTTGAGAGGGCTTTAGTAGCCATTTCGGCATCCTTTTCCAGCAGAACAGAAGCACTGAGCCTTGTTTCTCCTCAGTTTAGACATGGGAAGTTAATTGTTTAAAATTAAGTTTTAAAATTTTTAGAACCTTGTGGTCAACAGAAAGAGACGAGTACCTGCAGAGCATAATTAGTCCAGTCCATGTCAGATACCAAAAAGAGGATGGGATGAGTGTCTCCCTACAGCTGCCTGTCTCTTTCCATTGGCCAGAGGGTGGAGCCCAGCTGTCCCCTCCTACTTGGGCATCGCTAACTTTGAGGTAACAAAGATTAGATAGGATGTGTCCTGTACACCAGCCCTTAGAGGAGGAAATACAATAATATAAATTCAGATAAGACAAGGATGTCTTTGGTTTGCTCCTGTCCCGGGGTGTATGTGCTCACTTGTAGCAATAACCATGAAAAAAACAAAATGCCTCTGAGCTACTTACCAAGTAATATGATGATACAGAGAAGAATGGCAATGAGAGCCCCAGTGCTAAGACCAGTAGGATGAATCAAGGCTTCTGCATTACAGGACAGCATCTTTCCTCGATGGTCACAAGCACATACTCGAATAGTCACCGTTTCAGTGCTGCTCTGGATAGGGTATTCGTTGTCTGATATTACCACTGGCAAGAAGTAGGTACTCATTTCATGTCGGTTATATCTGGTTTTTCGGGTGAAAATCCCTGCTGTGTTGTCTGCAAACACAAAGCACGCATTAAATCTTCGTATGAAGACTGAAAGCAAGGATGAGATAATAAAGAAAAGTCTTCCCAGAAATTCACCTCTGTTGTCCTGCAGTGTAAAGTTTGAGCTGCCGGCTGCCTCGGGAGCTAAGGAGAATGAAAACTGGTGTCCACTGTAAGAGTCATCTTTATCAACAGCACTTAATGTTTGTATCAGCTGAAACAATAAGAACAAAATTATCTTCAAAGTCAGTGGACCTTACAGTTATCTATATACCAACTTATTGTATTCATTTTTTGCTGTTGCTGCTATGATGAGCTTAAGAAAAATGATCCGTGTGCTGCTGATGCTGATACCACTCCAGATGAATGGAAAAACCTTTGCATGTGACAAGCAATAGAGACTAAAGGTGAGATAGTCTAAGCTGACTGTCTATTTATCTACCCAAATCTCATGTCACAAGAATTGTTTGGCTGAATCTTCCAAATTGTTATTATTACTTTGAACCACGTAGTAATAAGACTGGTAGAGTGAGAGTTATCTGGCAAGAAACAGCTGTATCACAGACAGGACCTGTTAACAGTTATGGACCTGAAACTGTTTTTGCAAGAGACAGTGGAGGTGCCTGAATAAAGCAGAAAATGACAGAATGAAAATGAATCAGGGACACCAAGGTGCAGCACAGGCAAAAAAAAGTCCAAAACATACTGTCACATTAGCTGCAAGAACACTACGTGTAATCAGGCACTGTGCAGCCAATGTTTAGTTTAATTTTGCAGACCCGACAGTTTGATGTAATGCAAAGCATACATCTTGAAGAGGTGATGCAGAGTAGCAAAACTCAATTAATTTGGAATATTTTCTTAGTACAAGCAGACAACATACCTGTTCTGCCTTTGCATTTTCACAGACAAAGGTTTCGTAAAACATGGCAAACTCTGGAGCATTGTCATTTACATCCAAAACCTTAATGAACACTGGGACACGGCTGCTTTGTTTTGGGTTATCTGAAATGATAAAACCAGAAAGAAGAGAGATTTTATTTAACCCAGGTGCTCACTCAGTGCAGGAGAATAAAAGGAAACCTTAGGGGCTCATCACCTTAGTTCTCCTCTCTCACAATACTCCACTTATGTTCTGTTGATTTCTGGGGAATGTGTTAAGAGATGAATTCCACAAAACCGTGCTGTGCTGTCATTACTGTGATTTAATGTAAGCTATACAGTTAAGATTGGGTAGGAGTCCAGGATTTACAAATTCCTTTTAACACTTCAAGTATGATCATGTGTAATGTGTTTTTATATATATATATACACACATATATACAAATATAATACTGGAATTAAATGAAATCTATTTATCAGCCAAACTGATACAGTTTCATGGCAACAAAATTTCTAGAACATATTCCCTTCCTTAACTCTGAAACAGGAAGACTGAATAGTCATGAAGATGGAATTGAGTGGTTTTTTCCCCTGCACCTGTTACATATGATATTCTGTCCCCTACAAATCTTGTGACACAGTTCCTTAAGCTACCATGATTACCTTTATGTTACATAAATAGTAACTGCTGTTTTGATCATGCGTATTTTCTAATCTCTTGTGAATTGATTTGGCTGATATTCCAGAGTTAACACTAAAACATAAGCACTATATAGAATCTCCAGATCCCTATATGTAAACATGGGGTTTTTTTTCTCTATAAGGACGGTATAGTGTCAAGAGATTGAATTTGTCAAGGATACTCCTGAGCATAAAATAATGATGAACATATTGTCATCTTTCTAGATAAAAATGAAAGTGTTTGAAAATGCACCACATTGTATAGACCATTCCTCCTCCTGTTGGACGATCGATCCTGTTGGACCATTCCTTCTGCTCTTGAGGGGTGGCAGGCTTTCGTCATGAGGATGCACAAAATATGGAATGAAGGCAATAGGCCTTTGCTCTGTATCACACAAAAATTGATTCTAGGTCACGTCACCCGGATATACCCATCTCAGCACCTGGGAGTATGTGTGCGGGGGAATGTGAGAGCACAAAATCTATGTGGGAATAAATGCGATCAAAATGGGTTTCATTTAAAATAAATAGCTTCCCTCTCCCTTTCCTGAGGACTCACACTGTGTTTTGCTGCATTAGTTTCCTGCCTGTTTTTATATAGTTTATTAATGCATTTTAACCTACGATTCAAGTGAAAAAAACCCAGTGCAATAAAATATAGCAGATCTAATACCTCCTCTGCTTCTAGAAGCATTCATTACAGTAGCTTGTTCAGTTAGGCTTTAATAAAAGCCCTATTACTCTGTTTATCATTACTTTTTTAAATTTGAAAAAGCCTTCTCCAAAATTGGCGCTGTATATTTGTATTACAGAGCTCAGTCATTAGGACAAGATATTGTGCTTTAAAGCTCCACAGATCCATTGAAGTTAATACGATTCCATTAGGCATAAACCACTTTCTACTACGAACCATTGGGCTAAATTCATTCAATGTGTAAAACAACAGTTTATGAATAATAGAGACTAGACTGAATTCTGTGCTAGAATATAGCAATACAGATGTTGAATTTTTATAATAGGCAGAAATTAAAGGTACTTATTTGAAGTTGCAGGACTATTGGCAAGACTGTTTTATAAGGACATACCCTTCTAACAGATACATTCAAATATATTGGCAAATGCGACTCTTCTCCTCTCTAGAATTACAGTTGTTTTCTTTCCTGTTTTTTGAACCGTGAACTACAGATTCTCATTTTACTTCCAGGTGCTTAAGATTCTCACAATTTCAAATGACACTGTAGTAAACAGAAGTTTCATAAAAACCCTGTGCTCTATGAACACAGGCTTTTTTCTGATATAATGGAAATATACTTTAAGTCTTTTTTTGTCATGTTTCAAATTATTTTTTTCAAATTAATTGACATAGGTTAATTTACTTGCAGTATCATTTAATGATCTCCATCTCCAAAAAAAGCTCCATAGATTCAACAGACTGCTTAAATCTATTCATCTCTATAATGGTATTTTTTCTCTTGAGCCAGAAACCAAACTGTTAAAGTTTTTGTTGTTGTTGTTGTTGTTTTTTTCTGAATGCAGCATCAAAGTCCTGCCAATGTTTGATTTACCCCTAAACGTTAAGTAAAGAATATTTAAAAATACTCTGGGAATTCTCTTTGGTAAATCAGCTGTAATTCTGCAGCTGTGCATCAGCAGCCCCGTGTACTGAGTTTTATTGCCAGTTTGCGTTGTGACTGTGGTAGATGTACTGCCCCAGCGTTTCACCAACAACTGATTTGCAGCACTCACAGCATGATTCTCTCGGCTGTTGAGCAACTGCAGCTCATACTGGTGAAAAAGAAGAATATGAAAAAATGGAGCTCTCTGCACTTGCTGACAATTCTAGACAATTAGAGGCAAAACAACTTCTGTCTTTTCATTTTATTTCTTTTCTACTGTAAAATGAAATCAAGAGCAGTCATGACTGGAAGGTGTTTCTCTTTATTTATGACTTTATGATTTTTTTTTCTACTTTTTTTATATCAAAGTGAGCACCCATCCATCTGAATGCACACCCTGTCTGTAGCTTGACTGGATATTTCTTCAGTGAAATACACCTGGAGTTTGATGTGATGGTATGTCACTGAGAGCAAACAGTGATTAGCTGGAATTTAGTGGCATGGGACTTTGGCTAGCCTTGCTACAAATCACTGGTTTTAGCTAGGAACATTCAGCTGTGGTGCTTTCCAGTTTAGTCCCTTGAGGCTAAAATTAACGAGGTAGCCTGGATCAGATGAAGGCTTGTTTGAACGGTAGCTGCATTTCAACCAAGCAAATTGCCTTCAGAAGGCGTCTACCCCAGCTATGCCAAATTTGGTGTAGGCTCAGTGAAGCACAGCCTGGGAAGTAGCTTGTTGCAGCCTGGAAGACTTCAGACTAAAGAGAAATGGTAATTAAGACAGAAGCCTGTGTCAGACACAAATGGTTTAGTTGAGAGGGTTTGGCCCAGTAGAAGGTCTGTCCTTAGGGGAGGAGGCAAGGAACTAAATGAATATTTTATATAGATGCTTAATTGGCTTTCAGGCAGGATACTTTTTTTTTATTTTTTATTGTGTATCATTTCAGCTCTGCTTGGTTCAATGCAAGTGTGCTTCCTAAATGTTCCTCCTATTCTTTCCTTTTTAGGTGTTTACTATTCATCTCCTCCTCTACCCAGGAGCTCAGTCTGTAATGTAAAACTCTTGACCCTAGATCATTCCTTCACAGACTTAATAGAAACACAAACATCTGACTAAGACAGCCAGAAGTCAGTGTTTGACATGGCAAAATCACATACCTATCTATAAAAGCTGCAAGCTTTCAAGAGAGGGAGAGAACCCTCCCTGGAGGTGTTCAAGGCCAAGTTGGACGGAGTCTTGAGTAGCCTGATCTAGTTGAGAGGCATCCCTGCCCATGACAGGGAGGTTGGACTAGATGATCTCTAAGGTCCCTTCCAGCCTAGGCCATTCTATGATTCTATGATTCTTATAGACTCTACCCTACTACTCTTTTACATAACCCCATTGTTTCGTATCAGTTTTCAGGTTTAAAAAAGACTATAGAATAAAGAAAGCTGCAGTCAAGTACACCATAGTTACACTCTTCTTGCCATTCAGAAGCTGACTGAACCATGTACACAAAACATAAGAAAGCAGAGCTTATATTGTCTCAGAATGTGTTTTGTATTTTTTTTTAAAAAGCCATTTAGCCTCTAAGTTGCACAAAGACTTTGTGACAGCCACAAAAATGCTGTGTATATTGGACCCATCTACCATTCCACCAAGCTTCACAATCATAGGCACTGTGACTTTTCAAAAGCAAACAGAATTGCGTTCCCTACTACTTGAGTATGTCACATGCTTATAGTTAATGTATTAAAATTCAAAAGGATTGTTTAAGGCCACCTAGCACACAGGTCCTTATCTAGATCCCTGGCATTTCAGCTCCTAAAAGCAATATGACTAGTGTTATCACAATATTACCCCTTGTGAAGAATCCTAAACAAATGGGAGAGTGACTTGTAACTCTAGCTTGTAATTTCAAAGGATGCAAAAGAAGTAAAAAAAATAGAAATCCTTAAACTCATTAAGATCGATGCACCCAGCTCAGCCCAGTCACCTTAGTCCTACCTGAAATCATCCAGCTTATACTACACTTAGTCTGGATCAGACTGAATTCACCCATGGACCGCAGTTTGCTTTAAAGAATCTTGCTTGCTTGCATGCCAATTCCAGAATTCAAAATCAAGAATGTTCAAAATTAAGAATGTTCAAATTTAAGAATGGTCATTACTGATTAGAAAACAGAGAATTTCTGCCTTTCCTTCCTGCTCAGCCAAGTAACCTCCTCATCAACTGTTTCCCTAGCAAACACAGAACTGCAGACCACCTCTTGCAGAGTTTCCACGTCTTCATTAGTATTGAGTGGACCATCCATATACCCTGACATCTGTCCAGCCGAGCTTTCCACACACTCAACTCGAAGGCTGAATTCATTACATCAGGGACAGCAGTGGTATTTAGGTTTGACTTACTGATCTCTGCTGCTATTACTGTAATGTTGTGCCATAGCAGTGTTTCCCGGTCAAGGGGTTTTGAAGTAAATATCGAACCGTTTCCTGAATTGATGTTGAATACTCTGTCCATATCAGTGTGTCGATCTACAGAGTACCTGCAAACACAGAGACAGGGGTTAGGAGAATGCTTTCCTTTTAATTTCTATGTTTTTAAACCATTTTCTAAGACTAGACATCAAACAGCTAGTAAATGGGGTTGCCTTTTGTTTTCAGCACAGGCTGCCGAGTCTTTATATATTCACACAAAGAGCTAGTTCTGAGCTACTGGATAATGTCACATTGGAGGTTTGATTTAGAAGGTGGGGCATTGTCACTGAATAAATGAATTACTGCAGAATTTACATACCTCTGAGAATCATCAAAGCTTTGTTTTTAGAGAGAAATGTGAAGTCTGTGTCCTGAAAGATATGAAGTTTATTTTAAGGCTGAGTTGGCTTTCCCATTATAAAACCCTCTTTTTATGGTTTGATATCTCAACTGTTCCAAATCATTTCTTATATAAAACCTGACAGCTGGGGTGCATATCTGCCTTTCACTTCACAGCATTTAAAAAGACTGCCCCCCCAACTCAAGTCAGCATGGAACAGAGATTCATTATTCTGTGGTACATATCACCTAAAGGTTTGCTGTAATTCATTAAAACTAACATGCTCAGCCCCGCTTGATGGTATCTAGATGTGAAAATGAATGCTAACAAGCTCTGGAAGAGTTCAGAGTCCAAATACAGATTCACATTTTCAACCTGATCTTTTCTTTTTTTACCAAATCCAACTTTAAAAGCAGAACTCTCCAGTTCACCGGAGAGGGTGCTGCCACCCCAATCCAAATGCTGAGACTTGTTTTTGTCTCTCACGAAGAGAAAAATTCTTGGATCAATTATAGAGGTTTTGGTGGAAATATGTTTCTGATGTTGCTAAAGCCAGAATGCAATTTCATTATTCTGCTCTTGTTTCAAGCCTGAATGTGTGCTTCCAGGACAGAGCCTTAGGAAGCCCAGTGTGCTCCCCTGGTCTCTGTGCAGGACACGTCGATGGAGACAAGGCAGCTTCTGCTGTCCCTTGCATCCAGACAAGGGTAGAGCTGTGCTGGTACGCGGACAGGTGAAAACTGGGCCAGGAGAATGACTGGCAGAGTTTACTGCCACTGGGGAATTGAGGGCAATGCAGAGGCTAAATAAAACTTTCCATTCCCTGCTCTGCCCTAGAAGCAGCTGCATGACGTGTCCCTTATTCCGCACAGATTTCCCAGTGCCTGTCCAGTGTCTCTTAACTTCTGAGAAAGGCTTTGCATGGAAGAAGGAGTGAACAGAAGAGTTCAGCTGAAACATGAATCTGGCAAAGGTTTACAATTTATTAATTTGCCAGTTATATTCTTACTGCGTTTTCTTTCTTTTCTTTACTAATATAAAAAAAAAAGAGGGGGAGATATAAAACAACTGTGGTGTCACTAACCTAGCTCCTTTATGCAGCATTGTAATGTTACCATCAGCTTGAGGAGGGTACATGAGAAGGCAGGAAGTAGGCAGTGCTGACTGATGGGACAGCTCCAGCCAGCTGTGTTGTTTTGTCCAAGCCTAAATAGTACGTGTGAATTTGTTGACTTAGCTGAAATGTTTGATGGAAACAAGTTTATACAAACTGGTCTGACTCTCTTATATTTTGAGAAAGTAAGTATTTGATATGGTAAACATTTCATTTTAACTTTCATTCATTCAGGTTTTTATATGATATTATGTTGGTATTTTGTGAATTCAATTATTTTTCAGATATTCCGTAGCTCATTTCCATATCTTTCAGCTGAAACACTTTGGTATTTCTATTTTGCACTAAACCTAGATTTTGCATTCCTATTTGAAATGAAGCATCAGGATTTTCCATAGATTAGCTGTTCCAGCCAACTGTAATAGTGTCTTTCAGGCTCTTACTCAGCAAGACAGTTAAGTAAGCAACTAGCTAAAGGCATGAGTTGTCCATTTTTTTTCTATTTTTTTTTCTTCAATTATGCTTTTACCCATGCTTCATATTATGAATGGGCTTAAAATACCTTACTGCCTTAGCACATTTTAATGCCTTGGCATATTGTAATCGCTATCTTTACTTCACAATATTTCCCAAATCCAATCTGTGGTACAAGAATCAATCTGTGGAAATTATGAAAAAAACCCCAACATTGTTCTGGACTTTTTTGAAGGTTACCAGAGCTCTAACACTGAGGAATTCTTTTTCAAGTTATTAAGAATTTTAAAACATATGTCCTTGTAAAACTACATATATATTCAGTCATTTGTACAGCAGAAAGGTAAACTCACCAAAAAAAAAACCAACCAGAGAACAGCTTCTTAATGAAATGTTAATTTTATTTCTTCATATCCAAAAGAAAATACATACAAGGTCAATGCAGTTGAAGTATATTCTAATTATATCATTAACCCTGGACTAGAAGGATGATTTTAATAAGCCAGACTGTCACTTCTGTTTCTCAGTTAGTATAATCCAGTCTCTTTTGATCAAGGACTGTTAATTATGTTGAATTGGTGGTGATTCTGACTTATGGATCATAACCTAGTAAGATTTAAGCAGACAACATCAAACTCATTTTCACATTTATTTAATGAAATTATTGGTGTGTATTTGTCAGATTTCAAAACTTCATCCCTTTCAAACCTCAAGGAATTTACAAGCTAGGAAGTTAAAAGGTATTTATGTAGATTCCAGTCTCTCCTTGTACGTAACAGGAAGAAGGGGAGGGTGAAAGAGAGAATCTAACACATGCAAATACGTTGTCAGTAAAATACACAAACAAAATTAAGCCTTACATTTGTTTGCAGATCATTTTCATCTGGGATACTTTAGTAAATCAAATCACAGCAGGGAGACAGTTCCAGTGACTGATGAACTTCATTATGCCTCTGAGGAGTTACTATAGCAAAAAAACTCAACTAGCAATTTAAAAAGATCTGATGTACAATACAGCAGGGCTAGCTGCAGCATTATATTTTTCACTGTGCAGTGGCTCATCATATTTCTGTTTAGATCAAACACAAGCAGAACGCAAAACTTTTTTTTATAACACAGCTGGACGGTGGAGTGTTTCTTAGGAGTGCACTAATGCCGCTACACGTGGATGCATATTCAAACATAGCCAAACATTTATTGGTGTATTTTTGTATTTTCTTAACATCAAGTCACAGCAAAGCTTATTTATGAGGGCTGGGCTGACGAAATGTAGCTCTACCGATACACGGGTCACGAACGATTATGCAGTCTTGCAATCAGGGCAGATATCCGCTTTGTATTTTGCTCTTGCTTCATTGTCTTCTGCTGTTCAGCAGCTTGCTGTCTAATGTAACCACAAGTCAGGAAGATTTGTGGGTCAGGAAGGGATGTGTGTGTGAATTTTTCATAATGCATTTTCATAATGATATTGTGAAGGTTTCCTTTAATGGAAGATCAAAGGGGCTTTCATCTAACAGAGTTAGGGCTCGGTTTGTTTAAAAAAAGAGAAATCTTCACTCAAGTAAAGGAGAAAATGGAAGGTTTTCATTGTAATAGCAAGTGTCTAAAGATTTTATTTTTAACCGTCAAGAAAAATTGACAAGCAAGTGACAAGTCATATATATACAGTCTAATTGCATCTTCCCTGAAGCTCAGAGTAAAAATCGGATTTAGCATCCCTATTGCATGATGGAAAAAAACACCCACCCTGTCAAAAAGATGCAGACTCAACCCATGCCCCTAAATTCTAGGAGATGCTCAGGATATTAGCACCATAAAATTACATTTATTGCAAGCTAACTTCTCTCAGGCTACTGCTCTCTGCTGATTTCCTTCCCCTCTTACTGATTTTCATGTTTTTTCTTGCTGTGTTTATTTATATTACTCTAACCTCTTCCTCATTTTCCTTTTCCTTCTCCTTTCACCTTGATGGCTGCATGCTATTAGAGTATAAAGCAGATGAGTTTTCTCCTGCACTGTATCAATTTTGACACCTCCGCTAAATTTTGCTCAATAATTATATGGAACTAATATGCAAAGTACTTACACTGTATTAAAGAACTGCCCTTTGAAAGATAGGTAAGTTTTAACACACACGTTCAATTAACAGAAAAGAGCCAGTAGGCAGTACTCAACAATGAACAGCATAATCCCTATCCACTGTAAATCACTTATAATTAGGAGCTGGTGCTGGTATGAAATGCAAATGGTTGTAGTTATCACCACGGGGAAGCAGAGGGAAGCACTCCCCTCGCTCTCTGGTGCCATTAGACATAGAAAAGCAGGTTCATATGAAGACTACAAGGGGCCCGGGTGTAACCCCAATCAATTTTTCATCTTCCTGCCAGCATGCCCAGGAAGACACGCTATAGAAGGTGTTCGTTCTATCCCCAGGCTTCACCAAAAGCAGCAAAACATCAGATTGCTCTTTAAACTACTATGCTCTGCTAGTCCAGAACTCCATATAATTGTTGCATGTTGTGGCATAAATGAAAGCAAAGCTTAATTACTATGAGAAGGCTTAGTCTTGAACAGGAATTCATGGGCAGAACATTGCAGATAAACTGAGCAGAAAGAAGGTTTCCATCAGAAATGGTTTAGATTTAGTTTCTTCACCTAGGAAATTAAGATGACAGTATTTACCCCTCTCACAAAGATGAGCTGAGAGCTTAAAACTTACACGTGCCTCATAAGCATTGTAAGATATCTTGATGAGAGATAGTTGTTTGCAGAAGTGCAAAGTATTGATGGATTGGACTTTTATTAAACCTACATTGTTCTATTTTGATCTGAAGACTACTACTATTGCATGTCCAAGGTGCCCAACCCAGAAACATGCTGAAAATTTACCTGGATTTAATATTGCTGTATTTTTAATTTCCTCCTCTTAGTGCCTTGTCAGGAGCAATGAACTTTAATTAAAGCACACAACTATTTTAAAAGTTCTTTTATACACTATCCAATATGACTTAAGTACTCCGGTATGTTTTCAAATATACTGAAACAATGTACTTGTTAATTTGCAAAGAACTAAGGCTTAAGTTTAGCCACTCCAACCTTAACATTCCCCTCCACTTACTCTAAGACTAGTTTATTGATTCATGGCAAGTGCAATTTATGAAGTCCATGAGACCGATTTTTATCTTACTAACCTTACATTGATACAAGTGAGATCCAAGTCTGTGTGTACACGTGAGCTGCTTTTAAGGCATTTCTGCCTGCAGTTTAGCAAAGATAAATGTGACCTCTGTTAAGCAGGTCTGGATGGATGGGAGAAGAAAGTGCTGCTGAATCACCCCCCCTGCCCATCATAGAACCGAGAATATGCACTGTAGCACGCTGGAAAAATGTTAAAGGTGGAAAGAGGACACTAACATCTTGGGGCTCTTTTCGCAGTAAATTCTTCCATGGTGGAAATAACCACAAGCATTAGTTACTGGAGAAGACAGGGTGTAATTCAAGATGCAAGGGCCATACAAACACAAGCACATATACCTAGATATACTCAAGTCTGAGATCACTTACATCTACAATACTCCATATTTAAGCATACCCAAACTATTTCATTGCTACAAGTGACTTTTTTCGTGTGTGTGTGCTAACACGAATAAAAGCAGAATGAATGCTGTAAAAAATTTACACACGAGCTAAAGTAGTCTGTGCTTACTTGACAGGGTTCTTGGCAGCATCTGGATCCTGAGCAGTTACCGTTCCTATTACACTGTTTATTGGAACATCTTCTTTCACTTCCATTATGTACGCTGGTCTGCTGAACACGGGGGGCTCATCTACATCCTCCACTTGAATTCTGACTGTAGCTGAGTCCTTGAATGGCCCCAAGTAGAGGAATCGAGGGTCCACATGAGTGTTGGTAGCTTCAACTTTCAGAATATATAGGTTTTTATTTTCGAAATCCAATGCCTAGAAAAATAAAAATAAATAAATAGAGATCTCTGTGGGACTGCTGTGGCTTGCAGCCAGATGAGCCAAGGGAATGGGGAGATGTCATGGAGAGGCCTGCGCTAGATACCAGGAGTCTCACCTGGAATTAAAATGCCAGCACAAGGGAGAAAGACAGGGCTCTGTGCCACTGATGACACCTTACAGGAAAAAAACCCCACTTTTTCAGGGAATGCTCTGCCTGGAACTCCTAAACAGGAGGTAATATTTTCTTCTCAAATAGCCATAAGTCTTAAAGCCTTTTATTCCATGATTTTTGAATTTTTATGTTTTCTTGTCTATCCCTTGCCCATAAGCACCACACACTAAAGGGAAGAAGATCTAGGAGCTGCTTGTTTAAATATTGGCATTTCATCACTGAAACGAAACATTGTGACATCTAGTGTCTGGACACCCAGGACCACTCATCAAGGAAAACATGACTTTATGATAGGTTAGGACTATATCAAATTCCCTAAGAAGTATGAAGTAGCAGCATTTAATAACTCTTTGCTACAATACATAGACAAATGTGGGGAGCAAGTAGCCACCCCATTTTTCCATTATGCTGTAGAAGATTCACAGCTTCTGTCAGCGACAGACATAAATGCAAACAGAGTTAGACTGATATCATAATCAGCCCCTGGGAGGCATCTCCTAAAAAACAAGTAATGACAGGTGTCGTACTGATATCAACAAGCGAGCGCATGTTCAGAAAATCTACACAATGTCTATCTAGCGGTGACTGAACTTGAGCTGATGGAGGATGATATCTGTAACCTTATCAAGCTTGCCTGATAACCCACTGTAAACAATATTTCTCAAACCTTTTCTGACAGCCAATGTGCAACCTAGTAGATGATGTCCACTGTGATCCAGCTAGGTGCTGTGATTTTTTTTTCTAAAGCAAAAGCATGCTGATGGATTTATTAATTACATTTTTACAAAGCGTGAGTCGAAAGAAATTTGCTACATACGTTAATGCATCATAGCTATACAGTTGAACACCTTCTGACAGAGCAAAGCAGGCAATGTGATACTGATTGTTTTTGTGGTCTTAACACAGCACATGCTAGTAAGTGAGCAAACCCTGCAGGGGAAAATAACAGTTGGATGGTGGTGCCTCCTTGAGTAATTCTGTGGATACTTTCAGACCATAGAATTTTTTCTCAGTCCCAACCTCCACCCTAGGTTATTTATTCTCTCAGGTCCTTCCAAATATGTGCATTGGTTTAGTAAAGAAGGTGTAAGAGGAAGGACCATGATTGCTTGTATAAAAGAAACTTCACATAGGTAATGTAGAGGTTCCTAACTGATAGCATCCAAAATAATAAACAACACACGTTGCTCCAAAAATCTAAAATGAGTATGTGCTAGAAAAAGTTTTGCCTGGTATTTCAGATCAGGGCTACGCGCGTTAAGACGTGTACCTTTTTGACAGTTATAATTCCTTCCTGTGTGTCCCTGTCTGTAGTAATTCCAAACATGTCGTAACCATCCCCCTCAGTGATGCTGTATTCGATCTCTGCATTTTCATCCACGTCAGCATCATTAGCTTTTATCCTTCCAACTGGTGAGTCAGGTGGTGTAGACTCAGGAGCTCTGAACTGGTACGTGCCTACAGCAAATGGAAAATGAAATTTTGTTAGTACTTTCGACACCATCTCTCGGCCCACTGTCCATGCTGGGTGGGCATGCATGGATGAGTTAGTGAATCACTGTGTCTTCAGGCTTTCCTGGGGCAACAGCCTTCAGCTTCTGCCCTACTTTCATACAGATAAAAGTAACCTCTTTTTCTATTTTCTAGTATGAAGAACGGGCATTCTGTTCTCCTGCAAACATGTATCTTTAGCAGCAGATGTCCCTTTCTAGACATCATCGAGGTCTCTGTTGGCCATATCAAAATTGTATGTGAAAAATGCCTTGAGGCCAAAGAAAAAATATTAAGAACTGCTGGAGGCCAACACAGCTTAGTAACACTAAAACCAAATTATAGAATCATAGATTCATACAACATTTGTGGCTGGAAGAGACCTTCGATATCATCAAGTCCAACCTTTTCCTAGCCCTATCAACATCACTAAACCATGCCCCTCAATGCAACATCCACCTGTCTCTTAAACACCTCCAGGGATGGCGACTCAACCACATCCCTGGGCAGCCTGTTCCAAGTTCCAATGCCTGACAACCCTCTCAGTAAAGAAATTGTTCCTAATATCCAAGCCCAATATCCAGCCCAAAAGCCTACTAACAATGTGCTACATTGAATTCTCCCCTAAAAAAACTCTGCTTGGGGAATGTTGGCATTATGAAGCTGTATCTTTAGCTTTTATATTGAAGACACTTATGTCCAGAGATGTATAATTAACTCATTGGGGGCAGAGTGCTATATTTTCTCTTAAGTTGCTCTAATTTAAATGGAAACACTTTGCTCACGGCTAAGAACAGACTTTGAACTTAAATGACAAGTTGCTTCCAATAACTTTCCCAGTGACTTAACCGCCAAAGCTTGATTTGTCTGATAGTATCTGCAATTATTTTCTCTAACAACCGCTCTCGACTTTGACACACACTGACAGTATGATACACACACATCACACACAGAGCAGTGGCTAGACAAAGCAAAAAAGAAGAAAGAGGGAGAAGGAAGGAAAGAAAGAGAGAAGGAACAAAGGAAAGAAGGATAAAGAGAAGGGGATGAAAGCTGAATCACTTTGAATCACTTAGGGCCATGAGGGGTCATTAACAGAAATTACTTTCCACGAGACCTTGCTCAACTGATTCCTTTAAACACCACACATACATCTACCAAATGATCTGAGGCAGAGGAAAGAAAACAAGCAGAAATATCTGGTATATTTAGGTACATGCCTTTGTATAGAAATCCATTGAGGCAAATGCTTCCTATCTTTTTGATAGGATTGCTCCTGGGATTATTTTATGCACTTAAATAAATATATTTTAAAACTTAAATATGTTAGATGAGAATAGCTATCTTAAAATGCAGTCAACCACAAAGTCTAACAGAAATAATATTGAACAAGAAATATAGGTTATATCAGTCAAAGCCATTTACTAGGTACACTAATTCACCTCTCAGACTGTCTACTGCAACTGGAGTAAAAATACAAAAGATTTGATTCCCAGTTAATACAATTAACCTTAGCATGATGCTATTGTTTGTTCATTTGGTCTCTTTTTCTTTCTTAAAGGAAGTTTGATACTTGCTAAGTTCACAATAGCAGAAACAATATCTGAGGTGAAAAAAACCCCATGAAACAAAACCCAACCAATTTTCATGCATTTTAATGTAGAGACATAGAATGTAAATGCTCTGTACTCTGGGGGAAGCGAGGCGGGTTGTCGTTTACATCCGTCAGTGTGATGTTCACGGTGGTGGTTCCTGATAACCCGCCCATCTGGCCGCCCATGTCCTTAGCCTGGATGACCACTTGGTATTGCTCTCTGTTTTCACGGTCCATGTTTAGCAAAGCAGTTTTAATAATGCCTGAAAACATGAAAATTAAAGAGGGGGAGTTCACAAGTAAGGTACAGACTTTGATGAAAATTCTTATTAAAAGAAAAGCCCACAGCCTAAAGAACAAAACAATCTCTGTGCAATAAGTAAACTTTGCCCAGTGCAAATATTTACTGTTATGAGATGGCTCATTAAATTACAGACTTGTCATATCATATCTCAGGCTTCTGCCTATGTGACTGACTCAATATTAGTGGCATCCCCAGAAAGATGTTCTACTCATTTGTGAGCAGTATTATTTTACATAACTATTTACCCTCCTTCAGTTCCATGCTAAAGTCTCTCACTGAACTGGAAAAAAGAATCTTTGTTCATTATAATGTGCTCCTTCTTTTCTCTCCTGTTCCATCAATATTTTTATTTTGATAGACGTGGTAAAAAAATAAAAAAGCTAACTTCAGCAAGACATCATTAAAGAAGCAGTACAACAACATTAAATGGGAGAAAAACAATTAATTAAGAAAACTATGAGCATCCAAGCATGCCCAAGTATATATATTTCTATTTATACATTGGTTGAGATGATTTTGCCAGTCACTTCCTTCATCAAAGGCACAAATATCAGTTACGAAGCCAACTTCTATTGAAATTCAATCATTCAGATTTACCATGAAGCAAAATGTTTGCATTCTCACTGGGTCTCTTAAGGCTAAGAACTGACTCCTTTGTAGGCAAAAGGGGTGAAATTCAAGTATTGAAATCCATGGCAAAATTCACAGCAGCTTCGATAGAGACTCCAGGAGTTTTGCAATTGATTTCTATGGCAGGAAGATCAAGCCCATGATTTACCTTGATTCCCCTCTGTGCCCCATAGAGCATTCTTGCTAAAAAATGATTACTGGTGAACTGCCAGCTACATCATCCTTATTATAACTCTAGAGAGAAGAGCACATAGTGTACTGTCCAAGTCAGAATGGGTGCATCAGTGCAAAAATCCTTGCTTGTATTACCTAATACCTTATGCTGGAAGGGAAGCTGCCTTTGATCTTGGCTCTCCCTCTTTTCTGAATTATGTCCATTTTTTCACCTCAGGTTTTTCTTTGAGACGTCTAATCTCTCTCTCATTTTCCTTGCCTGAGTCTCTAAGATTTATTTAAGAAATGCTAAAACCTGATTAATCGTCTGGGATAATCCATTCCTCTCCTGTAAGGATGCTAAGAAGAACCCATTTCTCTAGCTTCCAGCAACCTATCACAGTGGATAGTCCCATTTAAGTAGCTTCTTGAGATCCTTTGTTTATTGCTGAAGAATTTTGTTATAAATCTTGGGAAGAGAACTTCAGTGTAGTCAGATAGTCAATGGTACAGCAGATTCAGACAGCTAGACCTCTTTGTTTTACATGCAGTTTTCAAAGCTGCCTGTTATTCAGACCGTAAAAAATTCCTGCCACTGTATAATTTAAACATCTTCAAAAAACAGAACTCTGAAGTTTGGGATTCTATTTATGATCTTCTTGGCACAACAGCCAATTTTACCTCTTCTATCATTAGTCTTAATTAAGATTTCTTTCATAAAATTAGCATTAAAGTGATACGTTGCAGATGTACAGAAATTATAATTACTTTAAACAAGTTTTGAAGAAGCAGAAGGAGAAAAATACAACAGGCCTGAACAAACTCTCAGTCTTAATTTAGCTATTATGAAGATCTATGAGGATTAAGCACTTTTTTCCACACCCACCTGTTTCTCATTTTCATCTAAAAGCCAACCTATTTGGTTTAATTTAAGCATCCACAGCAGCCTCTGTACCCACTGCTTGTTAAAAATGATTGAAAACTGGTTCACATCCAGTACTAATTGTATTTATTAGACTTTACTGGTGAGATTAAAATAATGTAGGTGTCATGTTTACAGATGTATCGCTCTATTAAGTTTGTCAGATTTTGCACTGAGCAAGATGTAATCTCTTTGAAGTTTTTGTCTAATATGTCCTAGCTTGGCTTAGCATGTCATTTTGAATTACAGACACTGTCACAGAATGACAGATAAGGTCCCCTGACCTGTCTCAGATTCGACAGAGAAATATGGTTGTCCCTGGAGAATGCTGTAGACAACTTTAGCACTGTTCCCATATGTAGGATCGTCGGCATCAGTTGCAGTGACTTGCACAACAAAGGTACCTGCAATGATAATTTAAAGAAAATAAAAATCCACTGTTTGTGGGGTTTCATTTTTCGATGATATAGAAAAAGCATAGTTAATGTTCAGATCAAATCTGTGGCAAATAGTTAGAGATATTCTTATTTTGTAGAAATGTCTGTTCATAAAAAACATAGATACAAAACCAAAATGATCGTTGGCTTATTCTCACTTCATTAAAATACAGTTACTGATCAGATATGTAGATCCTTCATCATATTTCTTATGAAGAAACCAGAAATGCACCCTTCCTCAGATACTGAAGACATTCAGATTTTGAATCTAGGTCAAAAATGTACTTTTGCAAATTTACTCATCTTGTAAGGTGTTTGACATAGGAATGTAAATCTGTTTTTGCATGTGTCTTCTAGAGAAAGAAATCATGTCGAATCCTAGGCAAAGTGTTAACAAACATAAAAAATGAGCTTAGGTTTTGGCATTTAAAACAGATTTGTGAATAAAGTATTTAATTCACATATTAAAATGCGAGTATTAGGTTCACCAGCTGAGGTTTCATCCATGTGACAAGTCCCATGAATGAGAGGAGAGTATGCCCCAAAGTCTTTATTTTCATATTGCTTGAGCTTTATTTTAATCTCATTCTTGATTATGATTAATTAATGCTTCTCTCCCTTGATACTATTTCAGATTAGAAATGTGCTTCTTGCAGTTTAATCATCCATTGCTCTCTGACAAAGAAATCAAAATGACCTCCCTAAGAGTCAGAGACAAAGAACTAAAACCTGTCAACCTCTCTGGAAAAGATCCAATCTTAAAATCATATTTCAGGAAGTTATTTTCTTTTATTAATCAATTCTTACAGCTTGACATATTTTAAATCAATAGAAACATTTCAATGCACTTCAATGGACTTTGGAGCTCTTTTCTTTTGCCTGAAAAGAACAACACAGGTCACAGGAAATTAATGGCATATCTCAGAACCAGTGATAAGCTCTCCCGGGTGACAGTTTTTGCCCCCGAAGTGTGTACAACCACTTCTGTACCTGCCCTTTTCCATCTTTTTAAACCTTCCTGAACTAAAGAAGGATCGCTGAACAGATCTAGGGGTGGTATGGACACAGTTAGGTGACCATGGATTACCATATTATTACACTGCTACTAAATCATGTTAAAGCATATTAAACCCTGATTCCAGCAAAACGGTTTTCCTGGAGTTAGATTTGTTATTCTTTTTTTAAAGGCTGAGGTGCTTTTACTCCAGACTCAAACAGTAGATGTCTATATTTGGTGCCTGTAAACTTAGGGCTCTTTATTAACTGTATAGAAAAAAATCAAACCAGGCACTAAACCAAATTATCAGTTAGCACCTACCAACATCTGACATTTCGGGAATGCTGGCATTGTAAACATCCTTTGTAAACATCGGCTCGTTGTCATTGATATCATGGATCTTAATGATGAACTCAGATTCTGGTTCCACTGGTCTTCCAGTCCTTCTGTTTACAGCCTGGGCACGGAGGATATACACAGGCTTTTCTTCTCTGTCTAGTCTCTTTGTGGCCTGGATGTCGCCAGTATTTTCATTGATAATGAAGAGGTCTCCTGCTCCATCTCCAGAAAGGATATACTTAAGTGATCCATCTCCTTTATCCTGGTCTGAATGCAGCTGGTGGTGCAATAGGAATAAAAACCCAAAAATTAAAAAAAAAAAAATTGGGGCACAGTTCTAGATACTTTAACTGATACCATGATATATGCTTTATTATTATTAATACGTAGCCAAAAGGCTGTACACTGCTTTTGGGAAATGAGACGATACCTCAGCAGAAGCAGTGAATTGATAGAGTTGTGTCTTGATGTCAAACTGAAATCACCTGCAACATTATAAGAAATTGCCCAAGGAAAACCATGAACTGAAGCTGCAGATCACTTTCCCAAGCTAAGCATAGATCAGTTAGATCTAAATGCTAGTGGCTTAGGCAGAGTTCTAGGAATATGTAGGAGAGTGAGATCCTACAGTGGAAAACCACAGGATTTGGGAAGTGCGGTAAGCAAAAAATTAAAGTGTCCAGGTCAGTCATTTCTTGAGTTTAAATTCTAGGTGCTCTGCTCTTACATCCCATAAATATTATGTCATATACCACAGAGTGCACAACTTAACAACATTCTACATACACAAATAGCAGATAAATACACACATTCACAGATGTGGCAAACTACGAGCAGAGACAGGCAGGTGTACTTAAACCACTACCACAATGGCAATGAGGAGATCAGTTGCCTTATCCAAAAGGGACGTAGACCAAACCGAAATATGGTGGGGACAGGGGAAATAAGAGAATGACAGTAATTAGCATACATCAGCTGCCCAAACAATCACCTTTTCTTTTTTCCCAGGAGGTTTCCACATCTTTTGAAATGCTGCTTAGGACACACACAAGGTCTGACCTATTGAATCACACTCTCATAGCTGTTCCTTTGATAAAAGCTTATTCATCCCCCCGGGTCTTAAAACTGAGGCTAATCAACCACATTTTTTTGTTGTTATATTACAGAAAATAAAAAAAATAAAAAAGGAAACATTAAAATGGCTTCTGAAGTCAGGTGATGTAATTCATGGGAAAAAGTTAATCTACTAGGTAGCATATTCCTAGAAATTGTTGATTTCATAGAAAAGACTTGTTTATGAATCAGAAGAGCTAGATTTTCTCAACCACCACTCTGCTTCTCTTTTCCCGGATACAAGTTAGAAAAAAAATACCTAGTTGTCTATGTGGCAAAGCTGGATGGCATGCTTTGTAGAAGAGAAAGATTTGTAGGTTGAAAAAATACAGAAAATCTTCACAAAGAGGTTACCAAGGCCTGGCTATGCTCCTACCACACTGGAAGGGCAGCCTCCAGCATGACCATATGGTCTACGTTTTGGACTTCTTCCAACTTTCTGCCCAGATCAGTGCTGTGCTGCCAGACTACTGACAACCCACTTGGTGGCACAGTCCTCCCCACTCTGTGCCTATGTCTGTGGTCCCTACAGAAAGCCTGTTCTACGCAACAAGTCTGCTTGTAAGGGCAGAACTCTTTGTTACCACACATAGAAAAAGCACCCAATAATACAAAATATCAGAATGGCAGCATGGTTCACCATTAGCAGATGTGCTGAGGCACTCTTCTTAATTTTCTCCTTCAGGAAGAAAACGGGCATTCCATGTAATTTTTCACAGATCCCTTTCTCTTGATAATAAAAGTACTAATAACTAGCTTGTATGCAGCACTTTTCATAAGCAGATTCCAAAACTTTTCACAACAGGAGTCAATACCATTTGCTCTTTTTTTTTTGGATAACAAAGCACAGAAACTCAGTGTCTCAGAAGGCTAGTCTGAGAACCTGGAACAGAGTTCAGGTCTCCTGACTCCCATTCAGTTGGCTAAAACACTCAGCCATAGGGCCTAGAGGAATTGCATGATTTACTAGATATAACCTCAGCCTCTGATGAATATCTGTTAGATCTATTTGTTAAAAAGTCAGACTAGAAGTCTGGGCAGGAAGTAATTTCAACGGGATATTTGAGTATAATTTTCCTCAAAGGCAACCTGCAACAGAAAAGGCATGAAAATAACTTTTTCTTTAAAACTGCATATTTTTTATGATTGTTTCACAACAAAAAATCAACTTTTGTTTGCCTTGAAAGCCTCTTTACCTTTTGTCAGGTCTAGTCGAGAGGTGGTGCCCCTGCCCATGACAGGGAGGTTGGACTAGATGATCTCTAAGGTCCCTTCCAGCCTAGGACGTTCTATGATTCTATGATTCTGTATCATACCGGTACAAAACCAGCCCCCCGTAAGACTATCATTAATTCATGTGAATCATGGAATAACGTTGTTGTGAGACTTGTTACAGGCTGAACTTCCCAACTCATTTTTATCATCATTTTAATTAAACCTGGTTCCAATGAACAAGGCAGCAAAAAAGGTCAAGCTAGAAAAGATGTTGGACTCACTCGAAATTTGTCTTCCATAATGCTATGTACCTAGCCCAGAACACCTAAAGAACTAAAAACAGAAACTTGTGTGATTTTTTCAAGTCCGTAGTTTATGAAATTTCTACTCTTCCTCCACAATTAATCCACCTGTGTAAGACTCTGGATATCAAGAAAAAGTATAGCTCATTGTAATGACTCATTAATATTGAGAATGAGGTGATCTTTATCAAAGGTTCAATCTCTAGCCCTTCACCAAATGCACTTTTTAAAAACCCCCACATTCCCTAGGCCTTTATCACAACACCAGCATGAACTGTTTAATAGATGGGCCAGAATTGTTTGGATTTCATTCCCCTCTTTTCAGAAAAAAAAAAAAAAAGGTTTTATATATTGGAAAAACCAAGCAGATCTCTAGAAAAGTTTCTTAGCAATGATAAATTTGTAGCATTCGCCTGTGAGGAAAATATCTGAAAAAATGATTTATTATTTTAGATTACTTTATCTGTCCTTGACCGTTTGCTTGGTAGAAAAGTTTTATCCAGGCAAAGACAATAATCTATTTTATTTTTTCTTAAGTGTCAGTTTATCTTGGAAGGTGTATTTTATCTGTGTGACCTATATGAAGGAGGAAATTGCTACTGTAACCAGGTTTAAAAAAATAAATTGTGAATAAAATTAAAGGGGAAATAAATGGTGCAAGTTGAGGTCAAGAAAGGGCCTGGAGTTGAAATGCACTTAAAAATACAGTCAATGCTTTATATATAAAACTTAACACCATTGTTAGGTTATGGGGATGAAATCAGTAGCAATAACAACCCTCCCCTTTTCTTTTAAGTTGAAGTTATTTTTCCAGTTACCTCACTGTAAAGGAAGTTTGCCATGATATGTGCATAAATTATGCTGCAGAAGCTTTACTTTCGGCAGGCACAAACCTTAGCCAATACAAGATATTACAGCCTCACCCTGTGGGCTAACCCATGTTGCAAAAAAGTGTCCATAATCTTAGAATTACAGAATCATAGAATCACAGAATCACAGAAATGTCAGGGGTTGGAAGGGACCTCCAGAGATCATCTAGTCCAACACCCTGCCAGAGGAGGATCACCTAGGGCAGCCACACAGGAACACATCCAGGTGGGTTTTGAATGTCTCCAGAGAAGGAGACTCCACAACCTCTCCGGGCAGCCTGTGCCAATGCTCCGTCACCCTCAAAGGGAAAAAGTAAAGAAGTTTCTCCTCATGTTGAGGTGGAACCTCCTATATTCTAGCTTATACCCATTATTCCTTGTCCTACTACTGGGCACCACTGTGAAGAGACTGGCACCTTACTCTTGACACTTACTCCTCAGATATTTGTATACATTAGTAAGATTCCCTCCCAGCCATCTCTTTTCAAGACCAAACAGCCCCAGTTCTCTCAGTGTCTCTTCACAGGAGAGGTGTTCAAGTCCCTTAATCATCCTCGTAGCTCTCCCTTGGACTCTCTCCAGTAGGTACCTGTCTCTCTTGAACCGGGGAGCACAAAACTGGACACAGTATTCCTGGGGTGGTCTCATCAGGGCAGAGTAGAGGGGGAGGAGAACCTCCCTAGAGCTGCAGGACACACTTTTCTTAATGCACCCCAGGATCCCATTGGCCTCTTGGCCACAAGGGCATGTTGCTCTCCCATGGACAACTTACTGTCCACTAGGACCCCAAGGTCTTTCTCCACGGGGCTGCTTTCCAGCAGGACATCCCCTAATCTGTACTGGTGCCTGGTGTTATTCCTCCCCAGATGCAGGGCTCTACACTTGTCCTTATTGAACTTTGTCATGTTCACCTTTGCTCAGCTCTCCAGCCTGTCTAGATCATGATGGATAGCAGTGCAGCCTTCCTGTGTGTCAGCCAGTCCCCCCTAGTTTCATATCATCAGTGAACTTGCTGAGGATACACTCTCCCCTCCTCTAGGTCATTGATGAAGATATTGAACAAAACTGGACCCAGTACTGATCCCTGGGGAAGACCACTGGCCACAGGCCTCCAACTTGACTCTTCTACATGAAGTTGGTCATGGGACAGATAAATGGACCACGGCAGATAGTCACGGGATAGAATACAACATCTTGGGACATAGCACTCAGGTCAGCTGGCCTGTGTCATATTACCATTCCTCAATATAAAATTATTTCAGCCACAGGTTTTTAAGGCTGCACTTAAAGGTAGATTTTTTCACTTCCTTAGCGATTCAGTGTTACTCAATGGCATTCATTTCAACAGGTGACTGAACTGAGCAATACCTCAAAGGTATGTAAAACTATGAAGAAGTAAGCCTTTGTAATAAAAGGAAATGTATCAGCAATTGCACTGTATTAATATTATAGTAAATTGATTCATTCATAATCTAATCTGGACACTTTTGTGAAATCATCCATCACTCACCGGCTAAGGCTGAGGCTGAATGACAAATTAAAGATTTTACTATGCCCTAGGCCTACTTTTACTCATTTTCCTTTAATGCCACTGTTAAGTGAACCATCTGTTTCACTTTCAATGACTTAACAGTCAGATAAAAACCAGCCAGCCCTAGTCTCTTCTCTCCACCTGCCCCTCCCTGCTCCAAATGTCCTGGCCCAAAGCATTACAGGTCAGCCACCTGAAAACAGGGAAGGTTTCATGCCTCCAGGAGCAGGCATTTAAAGTGATTACA